TCAAGTTCTCCCCATTCCCTTTATTGGTACTCAAAGGGTTCAAAGGAGACAGAAACAACATGAAATGTGTTGTTGTTGTTCTATTCTCCCTCCTTGCTCCAGTTAGGACTAAAAAGATTAACATGAGGCAGGAATGAAAATGTTGTTGTTATTGTTATTGTCATAGTTATTGCCATCATCCTATTCCCCCCTTTATTAAAGGGTTCTTATCAAGGTACCTTATTATTATTATTATTATTATTATTATTATTATTATTATTTGAAACACAAGATGAGTCCACAGCGAACAAGATCACTCTGCTGGCTGTTGTATTGGATCACATGTCGGACACTTCCCAAGTGTCTAGGACTGTATGATGTATTGGTGAATAATGTGTGCAGATCCTAGTAGGGTGGCCTTTTGCAACTGACAGATGGTAATCTTGTCAGCTCCTATTGTGTTTAAGTACAGGCCAAGGTCTTTAGGCACTGCACCCAGTGTGCCAATCACCATAGGGACCACCTTGATTGTCTTGTGCCAGAGTCTTTGCAGTTCAATCTTTAAATCTTCATATTGTGTCAGCTTTTCCAGTTGTTTCTCTTCAATCCTGCTGTCACCTGGGATTGCAACATCGACAATCCACACTCTGTTTTTTCACATGATCATGAGGTCAGGAGTCTTGTGCTCCAAAACTCTGTCAGTCTGAATTCGGAAGTCCCAGATTAGCTTGACGTATTCATTTTCTGTAACTTTTTCCGTCTTGTGATCCCACCAGTTCTTTGTCGCTGGCAGATAGTATTTGTGGCAAAAGTTCTATGAATCATCTGAGCAACGGTGTTGTGCCTCTGCTTGCAGTCTGTCTGCGTGATCTTCTTGCAGCAGCTGAGGATGGGATCTATTGTTTCGTCTGCTTCTTTGCAATCTACACTTGGGATCTGCTGTCGACTTTTCAATTCTGGCTCTGATGGCATTTGTTGTAATGGCTTGTTCTTCTTCATCATCATCATCATCATCATCATATTATTATTATTATTATTATTATTATTATTATCATCATCATCACCATAATTATCCCTTTATTTTCCTCCCATTGGGCCTCAAAGGATTTATATGAAACATAAGGTGAGGTCTGACCAATGCAGAATAGAATGGTTCTATTACTTCCCTTGATCTAGACACCATGCTCCTGTTGCTCATTTTGGATGGGACCTAGAGCACTGCTGCTTAATCTTTATCTGGATCACAGATCAGGAAAAATGAATGTACAGTATGATTTAGTGTATGCAGTGTTGGACTTCAAGCACATTTACAAGCACAATATGTACAGTTCAACCTCTGTATCTGTGGCGGATATACTCCTGTACTTTACCTGGATACACAAAGCCACAAATAATAGCAAAGTATATTGAAAAGAAGGACTAAGAACAACATGAAGTAGCACTGGAGGGCTTAGAAAATGCCTGTGGATGAATGTAATTCAAATGCAGGTCCCATGTATACAAAGATTGTACGGCCCTTAAAAATGTCCTCCAAGTTGTTGTAGATTTTTCGGGTTATATGGCCATGTTCTAGAAGCATTCTACCCTGACGTTTTGTCTGCATCTATGGCAAGCATCCTCAGAGGTTGTGAAGTCTCAGACCTCACAACCTCTGAGGATGCTTGCCATAGATGCAGCCGAAACGTCAGGAGAGAAAGCTTCTAGAACATGGCCATATAGCCCGAAAAATCTACAACAACCCAGTGATTCCAGCCATGAAAGCCTTCGATTATACATTATCCTCCAAGTGTTCAGTAGAGCTTACTCCCATAGGAAAGATAACAGGCACTCTTTATTTTTCTTGGAAGGACTCAAGCACAATTGCTGTCTTAACATCTTTTCTGATTGATTTCTGAGCAGGCACAATAACATAGGAGCCTCAATGGTCCATGTTTACAAGATAGTTTTTTAAAAATCTAAATATTTGTTACTTTTTTCAGCAATATAAATATTA